ATGTATTGGTTGAATTTTGAATTTGTTGAATTGCACATCAGGAAGATGTACGAAACAAAACCATCGCCGATTTTAGGTGAACTGGCAGAACCTAATTCATCTTGCTCCAGAAATATTCCATGCAAAATTTCAACGAAAAGCATCGTACGTAAAACTCGCTCATTTGGCTCAAACTTTTTCGTATGACAGTAAATTGAGTGTTCGTAATTGGAGCTGGATTTTTGAATTGTTTGCATTCGATTTTTGGTGCACAGTAGAGAAATGTTTGGTGTGGAAATTTTTTGCGGCAATTGAAGCATATCGTGAGCTGTTCAAGTTGCTCGAATTTATGAAGCGTTTCTTGTCGTTGAGCGTTCTTCTTTCTTGTTAAATGATTCCATTTTTACCCATCAATTTTTTATGTGTTCGATGAAAATGATTCATGGTAGCTGGAAAAAAGCAACCCGTATAATATTTCAGCTAGATTTACTACATGTGGAGCTCGCAACCAACCATAGGAAGTATTTTTCAAATGATGGTTACAACCACTGATTTTGAACAGCTGATTTTCATACTACCTAAAAAGTGCAACTAGGGACACGTTACATGTTTTGACGTTGCGTTCCGTCAGAAGATCTACCATACCAGTGTAGAATATATCAACTGAAATAGGTATTATAATTAGGTTGAGTGAATTAAGCAACCAACAAACGAATGGAAGTACATTGGCATTCATTTGTCAAACTTTCGGGATACTTCGGAATAATCTGAAGAAGACATTGCATTTGTGAATTACTGCACGAATACGTTGAATAATGGTTGACGAATTATAAAATAGCACCAAATTGGGAAAGGATGCGATCCTGTTCTGGAAATCGATGAAGATTCAACAGAAAAATTTTCAGGCAGCTGAAGCATCGTTTAAGCGTGGATTGAGTGCACCGAAAAAAATTGCATGCATGGATATGACTTGTGATGATATGAGACGTTGGAATACACTGATAATTGTGTGCTACAATAAGAAAACGGAAACAACGAGAAAGGCTTGACGGCAAGTAGCCATTGCTGCTATACTAAAATATTGAAGCAGCTCGCGCAGCTCAGGATGTCTTTTACCTGTCGCAAAACTTCATTTGGCCTTCTGCTACGATGTAGGGGAGCATTTTTGCGCGACGCGTCAAAAATCGAGATGGGAAACGGTCGAAAGACTGATCACCAATTAGCAACGATCAATTCAGTGTTGCACTGAAAAGTTCGAACACAAAGAGTGACCTTTGCGTAAGATATTTGAGGCTGAAATTTTGCATAGAACGACTATAAATTAACGCGTGAGTCAATTTCTGAGGGTGTATTTGAAATCGCAGAGGAAAATTCTCTCCGCATGGCTTTCGTATCACCACACTCTACACATTGTCCGCGAAGCGGTCTGGTATTGTACTGTGTCGAACAAAGGTAGATTAAGTGATCTCAGCAACGGAACACTCACTCATAAAAACTAAAAGTGTTTGTGAGACTGAAATTCAAAAGCGTGTGAGCGTGACTTTTCGTTGACTTGACAACACTGTTGATGCTAATTCCAATGCAAATTGTTGAATAAGAGAGGCACTTCTAAAATGCATTTTATTCACTAAAAAACTCCCAAAGAGCTGCATTCATTTTTTTTGCTTTATTCATCAATGATATCATTATTCATCGATGTTTCACCCTTCAAAAAGGATTATTTAAAATATTGCTTGTCGAATGTTGTACTTCGTATTATTGTTTCTATTATCCTTTATGACGACTGCCTATTCGGGCATGATGAATACTTCGTGTAGAGTTGTTTTGCACACGGCTAAATTCGCTGGAAATAGCATCAAAAAAGTGTAAGAGCAACTCATTGACGAGAACTTTGATTGTGTGCGCTAATCAAATACGGGATATTGTTACAATAATTTCAAAGGGTAAAATGATGGCGATGAAGAACATGTGATGCTTTGTTTCGATTTCGAGATAATCAAAATCGTAAAAAAAGATTACGTTCAAGAAAAACGAACGTCTGTGTCGATATTGTACGAAAAATGTATGCCGATATTGGGATTTCAACCGATTGGATTCCATAAAGATCAATCAGTCGGTTTGTGGCATGAATGTTGGTCAAAAGAAAGTCGAGCAAGATCAGTCTGGATTTCTGAACGGCACAAAACGAACACTTGAGCAGATCGCTTTTGATAAGAAAAGAAGAACTGCATCGAACTCTCCTCCCAATAGCAGCACACGAGAATGCGAACAAGCAAAACAAATCAAATAATATAAGTGCTCCGTTCTGGTAAAATCTTCTCTCATTGTTCAGTCGAATCAAATTATAAATGCGGATCGTGCAAAGTGGTTCATCCACCTTTAAAGATTTTCTGTTCGATGTTTACGGACGTGATAAATCAATTTCATAAGGGATATCGCTGAATATTTTTACGCACACTGCCATTTGATGTGTGCTTTTGATGTTGTTCACGATAATAAAACGAAATTCGGAACAAAATAAGGAATGTGCTGAGGATAGCAGCGGTCGCGAATGTGAAAGAGAACAACCGAATGCAAAAGAAGGCTCAAGGTTCAAATGGGATTGAACAGAGGCAACCTTGACAGTCCAATGTACAATATTTACAGATGCTTGGAATGTTCCATCTTTAGTAACTTTGCGAATTATCGCATTTGCACTAAATAAATCCGATTATTTTTCATACCATATTGCTTCATTTTATTATTGACTTAAATGGTACTGATTCGGTGAAAATCGAAATTGGATCACTGATCAAATTGAGACGAAGCCAACCGAAGTGAAATGCGAGCAAGGTGAGAAGGGAATGTATTGAAATTTTGATCATATTCTCAGATTCTTTGTGGCTGGAGACGCACTTCTCAGATTCTAGTGATAGAAATGTTCAGGCATTTTTGTAACTTTCTAGCGTGGTTCACTCGAAAATTTCATTTTTACTCTCTGTGTCATTCAATTGGTGGGTCGAGTGAACATGCTGGAATTTGTAATGACGACCGACTGGTCAGCTGTAATACCGATAGCAAAGAACATCAATAGGACCGATGCAATTTCTGCAGCACCTTCCACCTACTGATTGCGTGCAATTTGGTAAGGTTCAGTGATAAAAAACCTGAAACTGGTTGAATGCACATCTTGGATGTATCTGCAATCCGGTTTGTGTATGTTTTTTTGCATTTATTGATATGAGTGCACCTCTCGAGGGTGAATCGATTGCGATGAATCACATTCAGCGGAATTCAGCCGAGGACAAGTGGTTTTATGCGACGGGAATGTAACACAAACTGAGCACTCACACCGAACATTGCTCGGTAACAGAATAAATAATGGAGGTGATGCTCTGCATCACTGCAATACAGTCAGTAACACTGCAATGCGGCATTAAACAAAGCGATATTACAGTCAAACTGGCGAGCACACTCGATGCAAGGCAGCAACGTTGCACGGAGGGAGACGTTAAACTAGCTCGAATGTTACAGTCAAATTGGCGACCATAACTGATGGAAGTCACACAAGATCGTTCATAACAATGCGTTAAAATCTGCGTAATCCCAGTTTTTCATAAAAGTCCATCATCTTATGGGACATCAGATCCAAATTGAAGCGTTCCTTTGGAATGCCCTCACCGCTGCATACCAATACCTCAATGATTAATGTATGCATTAGAAGGGTTGTATGAATGTGCGGCTAACGAAAACAACTTCGATATAATGAACTCACCCTATTCATACGGTTGGGCATCGGTGTAACGATACAGTTAGCGAAGTACTTTCGATATTTATCGGCTATCTGAAAAGTTGTCTACTTGAATGCATTCTATTAGTCTAGAAATGACACCAGCATCGCACAAGTAATCTTCGTTTTACAAGAAATATCTCCTGAGTTCGAGTGACCGAATGGACTCGAATGTGCGTGGCCGAATCTGAATGGACCTTATCAACTTATTAACAGCAGTGCCTGCTCAAAATGTCAAATTCTGTTTTGCAAAAGCACATGTTCGCCATGATGCTGGTTAGAAATTCTAAACTCACTCACAACAGATGAATAATGATTTTAATAGACTCACTTTCTCAGATTCCTCCACAACCTGAGGTGTGAATACAAGCATTTTACTAATCATTGTACCTGAAAGTCGTCGATTTCGTTCATACATTATACATAATACTTGGAATTATTAAAAAATGGCAAATTTCATCAAAATAACGCATCGAAAAAGGAATGCGTCGGATTATTCCAAGAAATTAATTATTGCCTCAAAAACATGTTGGATCCTCGAATACAGAAAATAATGCAGAATGAAGAAAATGATTAGTCTGTAACTGAGTTCTCTTTTGAATGCTTTCCGATGAATTTTCATCTTTCTTGCAACTTCCCATTATTCTCCGTAACTTCAGGGCAATGATTCAATATCTTGGATTCTCATATGCAGTTCACACGTCATGAAAAGACCCGACTTAAAATAAGTAGTATACGTCGAAGAAGCGACTCCTCCGACATTCACTACTTAGTGAATCCAACATTCAACTTGTTTGACGTCAGAGAAGAAACGATGTCTATTTTCGAGCACTGTCACAGGAAAGATGGTAAGATGTTTAGATAGTTGAGAATGATACCTGTGTCCTTGAGGCACTGACGTATATGTCGGATCACTTCGTCTTCGAGAAGAGGAGGGATGGGGCACATAATCATGATTCCTTCTGGAAACCGTGTTGGGCAAACATCGATATAGATTGCATCAAATTTACGCCCTAAAACGGTTGCTGATAATATTTTTGGTACAGAATTGAGTTAGTTGAGGAGTTTTGGAATGAATTAAATGGTTCAGGACATCATGGCATTGCAAGCGATGGCATATTATTAATATGCAATAATCGTTTCCACGATAGCGAATAAAACTGAACACATTAAAGCGATGCGTTCAGTTATAACCTTGTTTAGCTGCATCTTCCAAGTACTTGATGCCATCCATAACGAAGACATGCTGAGTGTCATCCACTTTTAATCCAAAATATTCCTTGGCTATATCAACCATTGATTGCTCAAGTTCGATAACGGTCATGTTCAGCTAAAATATCAAAGCATAGGACAACTTGGAAACCATACATTTCGCTTTCATGCATAGAAAAGATTTTCTGAAGTGAACGAGCAAAGTTTGGAGAATGCTCGATAAATTGCTTGAGAACGCGATACCTCAGTGAGAAATTTGTCAGTCTGAATAAAATCAATCACTTTTAGACGTTCAAAAAATGAACTTTTGGGTATTTATGATGAATGAAATTGTTGATTTGAGATCCACCGAGACCAATCACCAGAACTTCAGCTTGCTGATCTTTATCTTCTGTTAGTGTACCCATTAAGAACGGTGGTGCGACTAGTGTTTGCGCCACTGGACTGAGTTTATCGTAATCAACTTTCAACTGAGTTGTATCGAAAAGTCTGGTGGCCATTATGTCTGAATTTGTTACCAATTTTTGATATTAAAATCCATTTTTGTTTCACTGATAGCATTCTGGAGAGTACAGAATTACTCGAAACACTGGACTAACTCAACGTTCAGAAAGCGTGCTAGTGCTACAAGGGTTACGGCAGTTACAGACAATCCAAAAGTTTCACTTTTTCGTCACGAAATTATTTGAAATAGCTGATCTCACTTTGAAAAATCCATAGCTTTATGAATTGAATTGATTCTTCAATGTATATCAAAAGTGCANATTTCAGATTTATTCGATGAATCAATTCCAATTATTTTCATACTCATTAACACTGAATTTTTATTTCGAAGTAACGAAACGCTTATAAAACCGGTATGCAATAATTATCTGCTGGCACATTATAATTCAATTTAGTATCGTGGAAATTAGGTAGAAAAACTTAATTATTACAGACTGCGTTTCACTCAATTCATTCGAAGTTTTCATTCTTGGAGCACTACAGTGTTAGTCGTGCAATTATGGAACATAATTTCGCTGAACTCAACTCACTTTCTGGTACTTTCATCGCAAGTTCACTTATAAATACTTCGTCACGATCAGCGTTCAACATTCTGCGATTAATTGAAATCCTGGAATTGTTCATGCGAACTTTCTGCGATTGCATTTAACCTTCGATGGTGCTCAAGCAATGAATCGTTATTTATGATGCCAAATGCTTCTGTTCAGAGTGAATGAACTTAACACAACACGCTAATGAAAGCTTTCGTCACATAACACTCCCAATTATGAAAATCGGCGTCAAATTTAAACCTGCTCGTTTGCACATTCCTGAATCCGAGATCTACAACCACCAGCTTTGCCATTGACGTATCAAACGATGCGATTTGAACAGCGGTAAAATTTTTGAATGACGTATCTAGTAGGCGAGCATATGGTGCATCCATAAAAAATATCTGCCCCGATCTTTCAACCTGAGTAAGATGGATTTATTATTTGAAATTGCATGCTTTATGCACTGATTTTAGAGATTTCAGAAAACTTTTGAGAATGCCCAAGGATTTGAATTGTTTTTTGGTGACACAATCTTCACAGGATTTTTTGGAGTGGTTTCACTGAATCAGAATCAGTTCAGTTTACGGATGTGCTTTGAGAAAGCATAATCCGATGGAAACAGCCAGCGTAACTGAATCTTAACTTGAGTTTCTTATTTATTTGTATCCAATTTAAGCGCTTGAGCCATCCGACATTGAATCTTACTGAACTGCATATGCAGGTGGGTAATTATTGAAAATTTTAAGCTCGAAAACGCTTGAGTCCATCAAACGCTTATGATGATTCAGTTGAACAGTTTACATTAGTGAAACGTTATTGCTATTATTATGAGTTCTCATTGTTAGCTGCAGCTCTTACAATTTCGTGATCGCTCCCTGTGAGCAGCTCTCATGTCGAATCATTGCGAGCAGTTGTTTTCATCAACCGGCTTTCGATCTTATAAGAATGAGTGGATGAAATTAAATGGTGACTACTCAGATGTGAAGATAAGGCTGCCTCGTATTGCTAATCAAATTATCGTCATGAAATCGATATGCGCTAAACGATTTCATGATGAAACAAAGTAAATACTACAAACATACCACAACTCCGAAGATCAATAATACACTGATTGCTATGACGAGGCGATATTTGTGCAATCGTATCATTACTTTTGTTGCGTTCTGACAATTTTCTGAAACTCTTCAAAAAAGGTAGTTTAGCTTCGTGCTGCTGCACTTTACTTATGCTTGATAACATCACTAAACGTCATTCACTG